AAAAAGCACAGTTCATAGCAATATACAGACTCACAAAGTAAGAACAAATATTCAAAGTTTGTTTCAAGGCTTTAGTGGTCGTCATGTCATCATCACAGTAAAAAGTATGGATGCTTTGTCCTTTGTAAAATACTAAACCCAAACTTTTTTGGACCAAGAAAATAAAAACAAAAACAAAACAATGTTAAATAGTGTAACATAGGAAACCACACTGAAAGACATGAAACTGTTGCTATAAATATAATGATAGGGCCACTTATCATTACCCTTTTGTTAGAGATACCAAGAAAATTTCATTAACCTGGTAAAAATGTGATCATGTACCTGAAAACATCCATTTCAACAGTTAAAGAACAGTTATTATTGCTGCAAAAATGTATACTCTGTATGTGCCTAATGCATTTCTTGGGGAGTCACAAAAAACATACAATATGGTCCCATAAATTCACTGTAATCAGGCCATGAAGTAGAAAACAACAGAAGATAAAAATGTAAGGCATGAATCACCTTTCTTTCCTTTAGTGATAAGCAGCTGGTAGCCAATGTCCCACAGCCCTCTGACTATGATCCTTCACATTCAACTTTCAACATTTGATAAAGTATCTAATAAAGTGCCCTAATGCTTAATGGGCACACTGTCTACCATACAGTATCTATCACATAATACTTAACCACATCTGGAATGCTACTCAAAGTTAAAGGCTTCTATTTTTCAGTATAATGCAGTGCTTTAGTGAAAATATAATAATGCTTAAATACTTGAACGGCTTGGGGTCGACTGGCGATTTACTTTGTGAACTCTGTAAACATCTCCCAGACGAGTTCATGCTGTCAGTCACCTTTTTCTAGTCTTATGAGATAAACATGATGCTCACTTTCTAAACCATGATCCCTAAGAGAGTCATAAGGGAGATGAAGCAGGGTAATACCTTAAGCATGTGGGTACCCTGTAAGTAAACTCGGTTTTTCAGAGAGATCCATCCCTCATTGTCATGTCCAGTTTGAAAACACCAAGACGGTGTCAGTAAAAATCACTCATAATTTAAATTTTACTGAACAATTTACGGGACTTTTCCCTCTTAGCACCACAACACTGTTGTTTTTGGCAGCTAGAACAACCTAAAGACAAAACGGATCTGCAAACATGAAAACATTATACTGGCAGAAAGTAACTTCAATAAAAACATGTTTCTCTTTTCAGGAAAGTTGTGCTTGGATGTAAAACACACAAAATTCTGTCGGGAAAATGTAGGACCTTTTTTCATTTAGGAGTTTTAAAAGCACCTTTATACTAAAAACCAAATAAATAAATAAGAAAAAGTTTCAGTGCATTATAATAAATACATTTGCATAAGGTTTACACATTTAGTGTAGGACTTGTTAAGGTTCATATTGTGAAGTAAAGCTTTGAAAGAAACTTAATTTGGACTCGTTCCAAATTTGGTGCATGAACTTATTGTGCGCCATAATGTTTGCTCTGTTGACCTCGTTATGAAATATAAATTCTTTCAGTAATTTTTTTTAACCAAAGTTAAAGTTTCATTCTCGATGGGCTCCACAGCGCTCTTAGTGGTAAACAGTGCATAGAAATCTCTAAAAAAATCCCAGCCAATCGATCACGTGATATATATACGGCCAGCATTAGGAAACATTCAGTTCAGAATCGAACCACAATCTGAATTTGCTTAATGTAGGTTAAAAGGTAAATGGATCCGAGCTTCTATTATTCTACTCTAAGTAACTTCTCTGTGCTTTTACTACAAGCCCGACTCCAGCTTTTAACTGTCATTTTAGGTTTTAGATGTTTGGAATAAATTTGAGGGTCTTTCTAATTTAGACATGCTGAGATGTTGATGTCATTTCATATTGGGGGGGAAGGTGAGGATCCAATGTTTGTTTGGCACCTAATATGGATATAGTGAATACCAGCCACCAGAATGATCCCTGCAATAACTGACAGTGACACAATGAGACCAAGATGGTTTCTTCCTGTAGCTGCGCCACTGCTGACTCCATTTCTGCTTCCTTCATCTGTCGAGAAAAGAAAATGCATTGGTGTGAATTGTCAGCAGTCAGGGAGGTGAAAACTCTTTTAAAGTGTCATTATTTGACATGAGCACAAACTCACCTGACTGACTGACATTCAGGTTTATGATGCTGAGGACTTCATAGCCCATCTCTGGTCTTTTCTGGAAGGCTATACACTCGTATGTTCCAATGTCAGCAGTCGTCATGTTCATCAGTATCATTGAGAGATCCCCATTCTGCATGTGGGTATTGGTCAGGTTTACCCGGCCCGTATAAGACGGATCCTGTTCGTCTGGATCAAGTTGGTCATCACGATAGTGCAGCACGTATTCTTTCAGGTCACGTCTGGACCACTGCATGGCGGGGACTACCATATTTCCAGGAGCATTACATGGCAGAATGACCTGCTGGCCAAGTGGATATATGATGTTTTTGTAGTCTGAAGGACAAAGGAAACAAGACAAAGGTTTAGGAATAAAAATATACATCAGAAATGCATGTACTAAACAAGAAGCACTCCAAGAGTGCAAACCTCCACCAAGGGAGCTCACTGTCTAGCCAGTATTTACTTTTAAGGGAATAGTATCATATTTTTTTCATATATTTAAGTTGTTTTCTGAGTGCAGTTGTTTGCAGTGCAGTAAAAGTTGATTTTATAAATCGATACATATAATATCACACAGCCATAGCAGGGAATGAGCGAGAGAAGAGAGGTGTGAGGAATACGAGGGTGAAGGAAGAAATGACTTTATAACTTATTAATAAAGTCAGTAATAACTGATCTTGTGCTCAGTTACAGCAGTCTAATGTAACCAAACATTTAACAGTACTTTAAAAGCTTTTTAAACAACAGCTACTTACCCAGAGTGTCAACTATCGAAGTGAGCGCCAAAAAAAGCCATAAGCAGATTTGAAGACACATCCTGAAGAAACAATATAGACAACGGGATAATTCATTTAAATCACAAAGTGTTTCCTGGGTAAAGTTATTCGCTAGAAAAGCTGGTTTATTCTCTCACAAAAAAAACTTGGAAACACTTTGGAAAAATTTCAGACATATGACAACTCTAATACTAAGTCTATCACAATAAATAACTTACTTCGAGGGGTTTTTGCACGATCTTTGTGGTGACAGGATTGAACCACCTGTGAAAATCATCTTCTTCCTCTTGAGTGGTTATTGGCAGCTGAGGTGTGGAAATGGAGCATGGGCACAAGTGTCAGACTGCAGGAAACAAGAGGGGGGAAAAGTTTCATGTAAAATAATACAAATACCTGCGTTTTCAGGAGATGAAACAATGAAAAATCAGGATGTTGTCTTCTAAATGGCTAAAACAGCTGATTTGTCCGTTTTCTATATATATATATATATTTTTGCAGTAGTAAAATGTTAAGCTCTTTCTTCTTGGCTACTTGTTTGGTTTGTAATTAAAGACTCAGACCTGTCCTCTATACTCATTAACACTGAAGGGAGGGAAGTAGGAAGCTTAAATGATGGAGCTCACATTACTCTGTGCTTTATGCCAGCTCAAACTCCCAAACTCATTAAATTTGATAGATTTGGCAAGTACAGGCTGCTGTGATGCCGAGTGAATATCCATAATGCCAAAATCAGTAGGCAACACATCACAAAATGACATTCAAGAAAACGCTCAGCATCTGTACACAGTTCCTAATATAATGACACTGGTGAGTCACAGTAGAATCAAATCACTCGTAGTGATTTAGCAGTGATTACTGCCAGTCTTTGATAAGCGATCTGTGCTACAAACTCTCCGGCTCGTCAACACAAACACTGCTCGGTGCAGTCAGTTGCAAACCTGTCACAGTCTGACTTTAAACTAGGCTACCAACTGCGTCTCACAGAGAGGACAGAGCCACTCTCACCCCACATTAATACGCGGCGTGTACTCTTTGATTTACACAGCACACGATGGGTGCACGTTTTCTTTGTACAGTAGCGGAAATCGACACCGCTTAATATAAGTTAGCATCTTGGCTCGCTTCAGCCGGTCAGGTGAGGCGAGCTAACGTGTCTAACGTGGCGCTGGCACGGTCAGCTGTTACCGGTGTTAGAAAAATACTACCCAAAGGCAGGATTCCTGCTCTCATACGGGCTCTGTTTAAGCTAAAACTAGCAGACTAAGCAACTGGCTGCTAGAACTTACTACTCTTCAGTGCAGATCCAAGATCCCGGAGTCCTTCAATAAATACAGGAGAAAAACCGGCCACACAGACCACCTCCAACCGAGTAAAGAAACTCCGGGCTCAGGTTACGTCGCCGAGTTGGCTTCCCCCCCCCTTCAGATTGCGACCATAGGGGCGTGATGATTGGTCAGTTGAGTAGGCGCGCTCTTTGGGCTCGTACGTCATTGGCTCGTACTCAACCGTGTTGGTGACGTTTTCTACAGTCATTGGTGATTAGCAAAGCAGCTGAGAGGTGTCAACCCACCTGCTGGAACGTTCGCGGTGTTTCTCGATGTTTCTCTGTTTTTGTTTTTGTTTTTTTTTTTTGCCTTTTTTCTTAAATTCCAACACCTTCCCTTATGTTGGCAGAAATCACCTGTTTTGCGAGTATATTTATAACTCATCATTATTGTACCGACACTGTGTTCTACATCCAAATAATAAGTCAAGTCATTTTTAGTCACTTAAAATTTTTTAGAAACTGTGATGTTATATTTGTTGGAATTGCCCCCTGGGGAAACTCTTTCTTTACCTGGATAAATGAGAACACGTGTTGCAGTTTCTACCTTATTAACCGGAATGTTCTTTCGGTCTTTAAATTACTTGATATCATTCAGGATATCAACAGTTTAAAGACTGGCGATCATTTTCTGGCGAGCAGTCACTACATGAACAAATTCAGATTTACTGCAGTGCACACACGGTCTAGTTGGGTGCTTACCTATCAGCTGGAGTGCGATATTAACACCTGTGTGTCGTAGCCCGAGACGAGAGATTCCACATATACAGGAACCCCAAAATCCAACATTACCTCCCCATTTCATAATCTTTGCAAATTTGATATATTTCCTATATAATATCTAATCTATGTGATTTACCAAATCTAACCCATCAGTGTTTATAAACTATCCGATGACTTCTGCTGCTTTTTGTATGTGTCCAGATAATGCATGGCAAACACCCAAAGAAGGGACTGTCAGACAACACTGTGTATTATGTATGCCTAGATGTTCACTCTTTATATATGAAACACAACACCCAGCAATGAATGGAATTTGCATGCATTCACATTCATTTACTCTATTGGAGCTGCAGCCACTAGAAAGCAGATCAGTCTGTAGGCTAATTATCAGCAACAATATCACTCAATAAAAATAAAAGTTCACTTTGATCTGTTGACAAACTGCAGTGATTTCCTTTGTCTACTTTATGAAGCTACGGGACAGAATCAGACTTGAACCTTGACTAACATTTAATGTTCAAAAGGCTTCAGAGCTCGAACGAGCAGCTGTGAAATAAATACAACAGGATAATATTCTTTTGTGCTTTGATGATTTTTATTTCCCATGATTAATGATTGCATGCAGCATTACACTCTTGTCTTTATATTCTTTATAGAGCTCTCTCCATTCCTCTGATAATGTCTCTGATTTATCAGAAAGGGGTAACAGAGAAAGCTGATAACCACCTTCATGATACTAGTCATCTCTGGCGGGGTTTTAGGTTTTGTTAAGCCAGCTAATGCAAAGAAATCTGGCTATATTGATAGCCACTCATAGTATGCCACTCTGATGGTGCAGGAGTTGTCACAGAGATCTCAGCAGTTGACAAATGCTGACATGATGGCCTTAAATATTAATCATTTGGCAGGAGCCAAAAACTGCAGTTTCTCTTATTGCCCATGAGTCAATCTCCATAGACCCCATGTTAAAATGACCACATTTGTGGCAGAATAAACACATTTACAGCCTAGTGTAAAACAGTTTTTGTTTTCAGAGCTCTATCTGTGCAGGGGAAAATTCATCACATCAAACAGCTCAAAGAATGAGTTTTGATCTCTTTTATGGGTTTACTTTTTTCTTTTGTTTCTTTGGGTTTGTCTCCCTCTCTGGGAACTTTAGAGAGCTGTGCATAAATGAATGTCTGCAAATCTCAATGAAATGAAGCAAAGCTGCAAAGAATGGACCAAAACCCTAAACCAAATGTTTTGTTGTTCATCTGAGGTTATTTTTACCTCATTTTAACACCTGCTGATGACCGTTCTTTAAGTATGTGTGGAAACATAAAACTTTAGAACAAAAACAAAATCTTTCGTTTTTCTCTTACAGGAAACAAAATCGCAACAGTTAATATTCAAAGAAGAGGAAACTACGTGAGGTCATCACGGAGGTGGGCGTAGAGCTTTGTTTGTGTCACTCTGAAGTGAACGCGCAGCAGAATGGCAGAAACAATTCTACTGTGGTTCTTCTGTGAGTGCACTTCTCATATATAAAGTACTTCATCTGTCTTATTGTGTGTGAAACTTTAAATGAACCTGAGTGTCCTGTCTCTTTAGATCTGACCTCATTGCTGTGCCACACAACAAATCAAGCTTAGTACATTTTTTGTTGTAGCTACAGAGGCACATGTCTATCAAAATATGAAGTTTGATTTTTTTCTAAGCATCTACAAAAGCATAGAGGCATTTAAATATGTGTCAGAGAGGGTAACACCGCGCTAACCATTCTTCAGAGCTCTAAATCATGCTTCTTCAGTTTGAGAGCCACATCACAATCACACTCACTGCTAACTCAAAAGTTGCAGTCATTTCCTTTTTAAGCACCAATGTGTTCCACAATATTTTTAATTATAGTTATTATTACTAACTGAAACTGGCTTCAGAACAATAATCATAATTTATGACCGGCTGAAAGCTCAACCGTTTGATGATTTAGTCAAACTTCAAAAACACGAAAGATCCAATATTATAAGGCTAAATGTCACTCACAGTGATCATCACTGGATATGTGCTGAAAGAGTTTTTGCTCATGTAACAATATTCTGTTCGAGCACCTTTCAGGTCACAGGTGACATTTCCTGTAATAGCGAGTTTGTTCATGTGAAGCTCTCATCGTACCAAACATCCTGTGCTAACCATGCACCCTTTGTGCTGTGCGTTTTACAGCAAATATAAAAATGATTGCATAAACATGATAATAAAAATAAAATTCCACAACAGAGTCACCATTTTACATCTAGATATGGAAAGTGAAAGGCAATTATAAAATCAGAACTTTAGCTGATCATCAATCTGGCCTATTATATTTCTGTTATACAATACTTGTGTTCAAAAGAATTAAAATATTATATTATTATGATTTACACTGCTGTTTAGTCAGGTCATAGGGCCAATGTCCCCCAGACTTCTATATTAATAAGTCAGAGTTGCCCTCTGCTAGACGTTAGAAAGAAAGCAGATGCTGTCTCTCACTCTTCCCTCTTCCCCACAGCTCGTCTGACTGTGAGCCCCAGCAGCTCTCAGCTGTTTGAAGGTGACTCTTTGTCTCTGAGCTGTGAGGCTGAGGACAGCCCTGCTGGATGGACTGTGAGGAGGAACACGCCCAAACGACAGAGGAGTCGGTGTGGAGATGGGTGGGGAAAACAAGTCGGTTCGTCTTGTACCATCACCTACAGCTTCAGAAGGGACAGTGGTGTTTACTGGTGTGAGTGCGGAGAGGGAATAACCAGTAACACCGTCAACATCACTGTGACAGGTAAGAAGATTGTGTATAGTTGTGTTGGTGAAGCTGTGTGTCAGTGGATGAAATGCGGTAGTTTGTGTCTGTGTTGAGGTGGCCCAGTGATCCTGCAGAGTCCTGTGCTTCCTGTGATGGAGGGAGACAGCATCACGCTGCTCTGTAAATCAAAGTCCACACATTCAAACCTCCCAGCTGCTTTCTATAAAGATGGCTCCTTCATCAGGACTGAGTCTACGGGTCACATGACCATTCCTCATGTTTCCCTGTCTGATGAAGGCCTCTACAAATGTCACATCAGTCATCATTGAGAGTCTCCACCCAGCTGGATCACTGTCACAGGTAATTTTCAGTATGATCAACATTTATTTCACATTTTTTCACCCAAAGTCCAGTTTTGTTTTTTCAAACCAGGTGTTACACACGGAAGGTGAAACCACAGACTGTACACTAATTGGCTAAAGACTTCTGATTTATTCAGTTTAATGTGAAACTACCCAAGAAAGTATTCAGGAAGGTTTTGAGTTTCCCATAGATTTCTACTACACCATCCAGAGGTGTTTTTTGCAACCACAGGAGTTGCCCCCTGGTGGCCACTGGAAAGACTGCAGATTAAAGGCACTTCTGCGTCTGCTTCACTTTTCAGACGAGACCAGAAAGCTTTGTCCTGTGTCTTTTATACCATCTATGATTTCATCCATGATTCACTCGAACGGTGCCTTTCTCTCTCCCTAACCCCCCTCACTATATCAACCATGTTTCTTACCTTAGCTCTGCTTTCTATCTTAGCCCCACTGACTACGCCGATCCCATCCACTGCTCTGCCTACTGATTCAGCTCCGCCCTTTGTCTCAACTCACCTGCCACTTGTAGCGACCCTGGCCTTCCACCTGATGGTGTTCTGTTGATATTTTATCTCCACCATCCTCGTGTTGTCATTACATCAACAAGTCCCTCAGATAACATTCACTGTCAAATACTCAGCTGATCATTGTATCTGTTGCGCTTTTCTGTTTTTCTGTCTTATAGATACTGTTCATTTCTAAAATATATGGAGGGTCAAAAAAATCACAAGAGAGTAGAATTTTTTATTGAAATAGCCAGGGGTCATGTACAGGTAAGCAGTCAGCATGATGAACAAACCAGGTGAAGGCAGACAAGACGCAAAAAAAATAAGGAAGAGGTGATACACAAGGAAAGAGCTAAAGAAACCTGAACCATGACACATTTCATTTCTGCTTCAGCATGCAACTGCACATGTGCCTTCCTCATATGTTTATTTTTAGTACTTTAAATTGATTTTTTTTGTCATTTATTTCCTTATTTATTTTGGCAGTTTTGGTCCTCCATACTAAAACATAAACTAATATGATGATCTCAGGATCAACCCTTTCTATAAGCTCCACCAGCCAACTGTTCAAATCTTCTGTTTATGAGGGGCATCCAATCAGAAGAAAGCTGCCTTAAATAAAGAGGAAGAGAAGCTAAAATATATATACATTTTTTTTTCTTTTTCACACAGTAAAAAAATAAATAAAAATACAGCAAACACTGCACATTATGATTCTGACTTGCTAATAGCTTCCTGTTCATATTTTCTTTCTAATACAGTTTGACTGGCCTCCACTGTAGGTGGGCAGCCAGCTAACAATAGAGAATACTAGGTAGTCATTTCAGCTTAAGCATGTTTTAAAAGAAAATGCACCACATTAGGACAGAGTTTTGTAGGATTGCTGCTTTTCTCAATTAGAGTTCTGTTAATTAGAAAACAATGAGTAATAACCTTTAATATGTGTGTTTAATATATGTTTGTGTGTGAATTTGTGATATGTATCATTACAGAAAAACCCCAACTGTGTTAAAACCCTTGTTCGCTGTTGTATGTCTTGAATCCACTCTCCCACTAATTTTAGTCCTTCATTATTTATTCATTCTGAAGATCTTATTTCTTTTTTTTCTTTCTTAAATTCTTATTCTTTTTATGTGAATGTTTGTAAAAAATTGGTTTCTGGGTTTGCAACTGATTTTATGTCATAGCTGTAATGGACTGTGTGCGGCAGGCAGGATTGGACCCAAGTGCAGACTCTTAGACAGGACTTTAACACAAAAACTCAGGTTTATTGCTCAAACAAAAAAAAGAATAGAACACAGCTGGTATGAGGGAGAACGTGACACTGGACAGAGGGAAACAGAGGGCTTAAATGCACAATACAAAGATGAGGGAACAGAAAACACATGAGGAACACAGCTGAGATGAATTAGACACAACGAGACCAGGGAAGCAAAACTAAACACACTGAACAAGGAAAGCAAGACTTTCACAATAAAACAGGAAACAAAAGAATGCAGGACTGACACATGGGCTTGGCAGATGAGTGGAGGAAAGGCAGACGGAAGAGGTAGTGAGGGACCAGGGGAGAGAGAGGGGACAAGAGAGACATGACAGGCTGGGGAAACATGGATAAACATGATGGGTGGGGGGAACATAGAATGTCACACAGGGAAGTGAACATGGGCACAGAAGAGGGAACCAAGACATGAGGACTCACACAAACATATAGGCACAGACACACAAAGAGAAAGAGACAAAGAGGGAGCCTAAACGTACAAGAAGCAAACATGGGTTACAAAAGTAACCTTAAATAATAAACCATAATACAAACTAACACCAAAACACAGGAACGCAAAAACATTGGCTCAAAATGACCCAGAACCATGACAACAGCAGCATGTGTTTTGTAAAAATATCACAGAGTAACTGAAACCAGTCAAAATCACTGTGGTTTACTGGACAGAGCTCTTTAACATACAGCAAAAAGAAAAGTGCAGTGTGGGTTTTCTGCTCTGATTCATGTGTACAATAAACATCAATACATCACATTTTATACTGCAGCTACCTTTCCTATTACATAGCTCATACATATATACACACACTGTAATATTTGAGTAATATGTGCAAACAAAAGCAAACATTTTGTTTATTATTAAAAAACACTAAAAGGAATAAAAAACATGATGTGTCAAAATAATATTTCTTTCTCCTCAAGTCATTTTTATTTTTCTGAGAATGATGAAAATAACATAAATAAAATGTTATATCTCCCAAAGGAGCCCTGAAGTTCAAGCAAAGCACTGACAATGCCAACGCTGCGGCTTTGACTCTTGCGAGAATATCTGCAGTCATGTTGGTGGAAACCTGGCAAGCATTGCTCAGAGATATTTACCTCTGAAACCGCAGCGTTATCCTGACCAGAAGCCAAGAAAAAATAAACACCGTCGTACTCAGAGATCTATTTTAGAACTCACTGAGGAGTGAGCTTTTTCACAGAAACAGAGTTCACACTTTCCGAGACATGTCTGAACATATGCAGCTTTCCACAAGAGCTTCAACGTGACACAAAAAATGTGCTCTTTTATGTGTTCAACCTGGTGAAGTCCCTGATTTTTCACTTTTAGGTGTAGAGAAATGGCCCAGTGGCACTGTACTGTAGGGTAGAGTGTAGGGTGAAGAAAACAGCATGATAGTAAAGGACATGGCTGATGCCTGGAGGTGGTCTGCACCTTGAATGCATCCACCTTAAAGTTAAACACACACTAAGTATTCAGGCTTTGTGTTTGGCAACACTAGTGAAATCTTTACAGCCTGATCTTATATTCTCACTTTTTCTCATTTTTTTCAGCTCCTGTACTGTCCAGTATCTTTGTACTTCAGCAGGGATGCATCTACAGATTGAAACAGCGCCGTCATGGTCTGAATATGACGACCAGAGTTAAAAAGCTGTGCACCTCCCCTCCAAAACCTAAACGCAGACACGCTTCTGACAATCTGTTATTCTACAAAAATGCTTTAAATAAGTTACAGACAGTTTCCTTTAAGAAATACAGAAAACAGTCAGAGGGAAAAACCAGGAAAACACTTTATGTTCAAAGAGAAACAGCTTCCCAAATTCCCAAGAATTAAAAAAGAAAAGAAAAACTAGTTTTAAAAAAATTGAGCCAAACCAAAGTTTGTTTCCTGAGACCCAAATTGAAAGAAAATGTTTGAATCCATAATCTATTTAAATTTATACATTATAAATATAAATAAATTATCTATAAATTAAGTTAACCCACCTTTAAAAACTAACAAGACTAAACTCCACCTGTCCTTGAAATCAGGTCAGATCAGTGTTTGACATCAAAGATTTAAAAACCCAGCTCACTGGGTTTAAAATCTTTTTTTTTTTTTTTTTAAATGATTAAAAACTTCACTGAAACAAACTGAGCCCAGTTTTGATGAGGAAAAAATGGGAGTTCATATTAATTATGTTGTGGTCATAAAGTGTTTAATGTGCACCAAGACTCTTACAGCATTTTTCAGCTGCAAATAACTTTGACTAAGAATAAATGTGAAACTATTTAAGGTCAAATGAGAATATTATGACAACCAGTACTAATAACTGTCACAATAAGCCATGGTTGTTGTGAATGCTTTGTAATGCCTAGCATGTAATTATGACATTTGGCGCTAGATGGCAGCACTCTGCAGACAATCGCCATCCATACTGTGACATTAAAGCAGGTATTCTTCACGATGCTTACATAGGCCTATGGGCAACCTCACAGGTTCACACCACTTGTGTGTGTGAGTGTGTGTGTGTGTGACCTTATAACTTTAAGTAAATCTATTAATATAATATATGTTTTTTTTACACTTCTTTTTATGTGACCTCTGTGGCTCCAGCTTTTAAAACCTTCCTTCTTGTTAATTCTTGTTTCATTTCAAACAGCATTCGCTTCAGACAAGATTGGGAATGTAATTTGACTTTGTTCATAGATACAAGAATACAAATAGCGACACTACAGAGTTTGTAGATGCAGATCATAGCTTAGTTATTTTCTCTTTCGGTGCTCTAACCTGTAGGTTTATTTAAAACCTGAGAATTTTTTTGTCCTGTTTGGCTTTTTTTTAATTTGGTGTGCTGCGAGTAACTGTGTAACAGAGATAAATAATGAACAAAACTAAACATTTAAGAACTGTGCAGTCCTATCTTATGTTAGGATGATTAAGCCTGGCCTCGTCTCAAATATCTTTAACTTGAATTTCAGGTCAGTCGCTGCTGCATGAAGCAACTGTAACAGGAATCTGTAGCGCCCATGGATTCAACTCTGTATAGACAACAGCCCACCAGCAGTTTAACTGCACTGCTGAGCGCGCGCACACATACACAACACACACGCACACACACACACACACGCACACATGCACACACACACAAACTGTTGGTTCACAAAGATAACCCTGTGGGCGAAGCACATTCTCCACAGTGACTCGAAACCTCTTCCCAGAACAGTTCACAGCCCAGCAGCAGCCCTCCGTATCTGATGTGTGTGTTTGCATTGTCGGCTCTGCACCTTTAGCATGAAGAGGAAGAGTGTTTAATTGGGAAATGCACAACAGGTATGCCAGTCACCTGACCTGTCACTCTGTCCCACCTGTCCTCTTGCACCTGAGGCCAGACCCACATCCCACAGAAATCCAGTTGTTTTGTAGTTGCTATATTTTAATCTTTTTTTTCTAAATGAATCATTGTGTTTGTGGTTCTGGGCACTCTATTAGGTTAATTTTCATTTCTAAATGAACTTAAGTGTGAATTATTGTCTGTTTCTATGTGTCAGTCCTGTGATGGACAGGGTGTACGTCACCTCTCACCTAAAGTGGACTGAGCATCTGAAAACTTAGCTTAGCTTAGCAGCTAAAAAAAATAATCTAGTTGTGAAGGAAGAGCTAGCTAAACTGTAGCTGGAGATCAGGATCAAGGCACGGTTTCTGGAATTTTATTCAGTTTCTTGAACAATGACATTGTGGGATATGGCTTGGCGGAGGTACGCGCTCTCTGAGGCTCTTCTAGGTTTGTGTTGTTCTTAGAGGATTGGTTTTTCACTCGTAAACTTAAATTAGCCCATCCATCAAAATAAAATCCAACAAAATAAGGCTACAGCACTTCTGTCTGAGATATTAAACCTTCTCTCTTGTCTTTATGAGCTTCTCCATTGTTTTCACAGCAGAGCAGAAAAAAACGGAGACCGAT